ATAAAATAAATAAATAAATAAGGTTAAATAAAATAATTTAAAAATATACCTATCAGAGGGGAATAATTAAGTAGGCTATGATTTCTAGGTGAGGTATTATGCACCAGTCAAGATATCTATAGTATTCATGATGTAGTAACCTGGGAATTATTTGTGATATTGTAAATACATGTTTAAAATAAAAGGAGGAAAAATTCCATATACTATTGATTTAAACTGTATTAAAATAGGCATAGTTGTTGTTGTTGTTTTAATTCTAAAGCAAACACTAATAATATACCAGATGTTCACTGGGTGGAAAAATGACAATTTTATTTTTTTCTTTTTTATATTTTCAAATAGTCTTTGTTGAGCAACTATTAATATCTCTAATAGAAACGTCCCTCCCCACACACTCACGACATATAATGTTATGTGTACTCTGCTAACTTCCTAAAGCAGCCTCTATTCTGTATTTGTTTTGCAGGTGGAGGATGCTATGCTGATGTTCGATAAAACTACCAACAGGCACAGAGGTAAGATTACCCCAGAATGGAAGGGTTGTCCTTTACCCCTTTCCAAATGGCTTCCATCTCTCCTTACCCCCAGTCCCGCTGACAAAAGATACAGTGAAGAGTCCTGAATCAAGCAGATGAGAGACAACCATCTGCTGGAGATCTGCATTAAGGGAGGGCCACAGTAGCACAGAGCCCAAATACTGGCCAGTTAGAGAACCATCTCCTTTTGCCTTGGGAACTCTAGTGTAATTATGCATCCACACCAACACACATATTCAGATACTCCTTTCTCATCTGGCTTTCTTAGTCCCTTGCTAACCTCAGCACTAAGTGATCCAAGTGGAAATTATTCATAGCAATTACTCAATTGAGTTCTCAATTTGCATTAAAGGAGGTGGTTTAGAAGCAGACTGTCAATCTAAAGAGCCAAAAAAAAAAAAAAAAAAAGGAAAGAAAGAAAAGGAAAAGGAAAAATCTTGTCCTAGGTTTGTTCAATGTGTACAGCGACTACAGACTTGGCTGTGCCCTGCGGCGCCTCTAGAATGTTCTGAGAGCATTTGCACTTATTTGTATGTTCTCCTGTGTATTTCCCCCTCCTGTTCCATCCATCTTATAGAAAAAGGGTCTTACTCTGAGGTCTATACCCCTTTGAAATGACGTGTCAAATGTTGTATGTTTGCACTTTTCTTGGGAGAGGAATCCCCTAGCTTTGAACAGATTCTCCAAGGGGTCTCTGAAACCCCCCTCCAAAAAAATAGGACATGTTAAAATGATTGCTTTAAACAGAAAAATGGGAGGAATCTAGAAAATCCTCCCTGAAGGTAGCAGAGTCAAAGGAGGTTATGACTTAGCATTCCATTCTCCAGTTCTCCGGATGCTCTGGGTTTCAGGGGCCCCTATTAACAGGGCGTTAATGAGTAGAACTTCCAAAGGGGGCCTGGGGGGGGGGGGGGGGGGG